GTGGAATGGTATAGACATGGAAAACAGTATTGGAATTTTCCTAGAAAATTAAAAATATGACCCAGCAAACCTTCTCCTGGACATATGCCCAAAAGAAGTGAAATCAACATCTTGTAAAGACGTCTGCACTCCCACGTTCATTGCAGCATTATTCCCAATAGCCAAGACATGGAAACAACCTAAGTGTCTGTCAACAGACAAGTGGATGAAGAAACTGTGGTGTATTATTGGATAGAATATTACTCTGACCTAAAAAAGAACAAGATTTTGCCACTGCCACAACATGGGTGAGTCTGGAGGGCATTATGTTAAGCCAGACCCAGAAAGAAAAATATTGTAAGATCTCACCTACATGTGGAACCTAAAATAAAGAAAAATTCAAATACACAGAGCTAGAAAACAAAACAGTAGCTACAAGGGGTGGGGAGTTGGAGTGGAAATGGGGGGATATAGCTCAGACGTTACGAAGTAGCACATATGTAGGATGAATAGGTCTAGAGATCCAACACAACATGAGGAGTACACAGGTGACAGATTTGTACCGTACTTGAGAGTAAGGCTACTGAGTAGATTTTAGCAGCTCTTACTACAAGAACAGCAAAATGGGTAACTACGTGAGATGACAGATACAGCTTCACTACAGTAACTTTTAACTATCTATATATCCTATAACTTCATTTTGTATACTTTAACTTTACAAAACCAAGTTTAATGAAAATATCAACAATAAACAGATCCTTCCTATATTTGGCACACAGAAAATTTCAAGGTATTCTTAATGTGTTATAATTATTTTACTTTGGACTTTTCTTAGCAAAAATTACCACATTTTATGATTCTAAGACCCAGTTTTTCATATTTAAAATCTATGGACTTTGTGTTCAAAGGTAATTAAAATGTACAATTATGATTTCTTCTTTCTTAGTGGAGCATAAAGATTGGTGTAGCTTACATCTACTGACATCTTAGATTAGATGAAATATGGTTATTTTATATTTGTCCTCCTTTATGAGTTCTCCTTAGTGTTGACTAAGCTTCCTAAGCAAATGTGACTACTCTAAACTGACACTCTCTCCAATGAGAAGTTCCATGCACCATTTTCCTTCTTTTAAAAACCTCTCATCCCTTCATGCTCCTGATTCAAAAGTCTTCTCCTTTTGTGGCTTTTTTCTTTTAACATAATTTCACTTCCTTTTCAAAAAATTTTACTTCAAAACACTTTCTAATTTTCTAGTGTGGTGATCCAATACAGAAGAAAATGTGCTAATGCTATATGATTGGGATAAAATTTGAATTCCCTACACCTGCAACTGACTCTGAAAAGTTAAGAGAGAATTTTCCAGAAGCCCCTGCCTTGTATGTAGCTGATCATCAAAAGACTGTGATGGATATTTTACAAATAATACCGTAACACTGCCCCTCTCAGAGTAGTGCCAGAAATAGTGCCTGCCCACAACTTCTTTGTTTTGGTATGGCTTCTCACCTTTTCCCTTGAGAGATGCCCAAGTGAAATCATTTTTTCTTGTAGACTGATAGGCTTGTTTATTTTTAACTCTCATTTCAAGAACTGCTCCCAGGTAAAAAGGCTTTATTTCAGAAAAAAAAAAAAATCCTCAACAGCACTCCTCCGGAAAGGCAGAGAAACGACCGAGGAACACTGCCTGGGCTCTGACCTGCAGCAGCTGACCTATCTCCTTTCCAACCTTATTTTCTGTGCTACCTGCTGAGCGTTGCCTTCTCCTTTGTATTCATCCATCCTGCTTGGCTGTAAAAAAGTGATTCCCACAACTCAGGTAGATTCTACTAGAAGAAAGCCCCAGGTCCTTCCACAGAAATGTATTGGCCTCTAGAACGATGGGGTCCTGTTGAGACCACTGCTTAGGGAAAATCCATCCCAAATTATGTAGGAGAGTTACTGTAGGACAAAACATTTTTATTCTGTGCAAAACCAGTGTACCACATAGCACACTTTTCTTCAAATGATAACAGATACCCCTCTACCCAAAATGCACAGCTAATCAAGTAAAAAGTGGATTCCTGGGTGTCACTCACAGGCTGGTTTATTGTTTAGGTAAAAATGGGCATTGAGAGGTAAGGGCAAGAGGGCAGCGGCTTCTCCCTTTGATCAAGTTTTCATCTCCAAGTGACATTTTAACCTGTTTTCCAATATTAAGTGGTCCCTAGGTCACAAATACATGATAAGTAATCATAAAAAAAGAATATTTTCTTCATTGTATACTACTTTTACTATGCATAATTAATAAACTGGCTTTTCATCCACATTGTTGGATGTATTACTTAACGTAAACACAGTTATCCATGTGAAATGGTTGCTGGTTCAAGTTCGGGGAGGGGGCTGTCAACAGGGTTGAATGTTTACAGTAATAGGACTGATCATTAGCCTAATTTCAACCAGTGTCAATTCAATGTTTGATCATCAACAAGCCTCAAGAAATGGCAGCATTTCCATCTTTCTGGGAAGTACAAAACACAATGATTAGTGGCAAGCCAACACTGAGTGAACCCCTACCACAAAGCACCTGACCTGCTATGGGTTCAGTAAGTGAGCGTGGAACTGAACCCCAAGTTTGCTTAGGACACATCAAGGACATACAGCTTGCCAAATATTTAGGATCAGGAATTAGACAATACTACTTGGGACATTTGTGTCACCTGTCCTTGCACTCTGAAACTCTTTCCCAAGATGAGATCAAGGAGTGCCACTAAGCACTTCAAAAGCGAGGAAGGCTCCTTTGGTTATAGTTCTGAGTGGCCGACAAAAGTCACCGTAGCTGGACGACCTCTAGGACACGATTTTCTGCCCCAGTTAAAGAGGGGCAGTGGGGCTGACAAGAAAAATACCCGTGAGATAAACCCAGAGTGAACTAAGCATGGGTTACATAGCTGTGGATTTGTAAAATCCCACAGTGTGCTAGCTGCAACCATGTCTCGGACTTGGGGAAACCAGGAGTGATCTGGTTCCATTACATTCTTCTGGGTTCTACCCAGTGTCCCTCTTGTAGTTGGTGCCTGCCTGGCGTGGGAAAACACTACGCGTCTGCATCTAACTCCAGGGCTCCAATGCAAAAGGAGAAAATGGATTTGCTGCACCTCTTACTTCCCCACCTCCACAAGACAACTGCACTTAATCTAATTCCAAAATGTTCTGAACCAAACCTCAGCTCTATTTGGAGAATTATTTTAAATGATAAGCCTTCTTTTTGCTTCCTTTGTCTACTAATAAACAAGTGGGTAGCTTTCTTTAACATTTCCTTCTTTCTAGATCAGCTGCCAAATTGAGTGATACAAAGATACTGTATCAGGAAAATAATATAGCTTATATTGGCCAGGTGCAGTGACTTGCGCCAGTAGTCCCAGGACTTTGGGGGGCCAAGGCCGGCGGATCACCTGAAGTCAGGAGTTCGAGACCAGCCGAGCCAACATGGTAAAACCCCGTCTCTACTAAAAATACAAAAAAAAAAAAAAAAGAAAAAAAGTAGCCAGGCATGGTGGTGCGTGCCTGTAGTCCTAGCTACTCATGAGGCTGAGGCAGGAGAATCGCTCGAACTCAGGCAGCAGAGGCTGCAGTGAACCAAGATCGCACCACTGCACTCCAGCCTGTGCCACAGAGCGAGACTCCGTTTCAATTAAAAAAAAAAAAAAAAGAATATAACTTATATTTATACATATGTATCGGCATTAAAATTTTAAAATTTTCTATGTATGATTTATTTTGAACCCCAATATATTAGAATAGTAGTACATGTACGCAATTAACCAATAAATGTGTAGATTGGTGGGCACAAGCTTCAACACTTAGCAACGACTGCACAATTTAAAAGGTTTGAAGAGATTGTTCTTGTTAATGATCTTGTCTTCTGTAAGCCACAGACATACAGGAATGAATTCAAAGATAAAAGTAAAATCAGGGCCGGCACGGTGGCTCACTCCTGTAGTCCGAGCACTTTGGAAGGCCGAGGTGGGTGGATCACCTGAGGTCAGGAGTTTAAGACCAGCCTGGCCAACATGGTGAAACCCCATCTGTACTAAAAAATACATATGTGTACATATAAACTAGCCAGGCGTGGTGGTGGGCGCCTGTAACCTCAGCTACTCAGGAGACTGAGGCACGAAAATCGTTTGAACCCAGGAGACGGAGGTTGCAGTGAGCCGACACGGTGCCACTGTACTGCAGTCTCGGTAACACAGTGAGACTCCCTCTCAAAAAATAAAAAAGACTTTGCAACCCAGAGAGAATGTCTTGCCAGAAAGATGATTTTACTACTCTGAAAATCTAGTGTCTCTAAGAGGCAGGAAATGCCTCATATTTAGCCAAGGCCAGCCACAAATAGTTTGGGGCCGGTTGAATTACTGGTCTATCTTTGACCTATTAGTTTCACAGTTTCTTAATAACAGTAAAGGACAGTGTACATGCTAAAGAGATTATGCTTGTTGAAACTTAAAAGAAAAGGCAGGGAAAGTTAATGAAATAGAAAAAACCATTTCATTTGTTCAGTGCTATTTGAGTTCTGCCTCTCAAAGTATTTCATTTTAATTTCTATCACTGACTAACAAAATGCATAGGATCAAAGTTTTTAAAAATTCAAAACCCATTTTGAAGGAACAGGACCATTTTTTAAGAAAATAGGCTTATAGCACCTGACCTATTTCATTGTCAAAGCAGCACATCTAGAAATTATTTTTATATTGATAGAGACACCTTTTAATAGGACTATGGTGTTCTATACACAAGAACACGGTAGCTGGAAGTAAACAGGCTAGTGGCTCATCCTACAATTTCTGTTTGGCACTGGATGGGCTAACAAGCCCATGAGCATGTCTGTTTTTTCCAACTTTTCTACATCACTGGCCAAAAAACAAAAAAAGCCCACACATACATAACACATACACATACATGAGTACAGAAATACAGACAGACAGATGAGACAAGTGAAAGAAAGAAGGGTTGCAGTTGTCTTGCAAGGAATATGGCAGGATACCTGGGATGCTCTCTAATTTCCTTCTGAGCTCTTCGTTTTCTTGTTGCAGTGAAATAACCTCCTGCTCCAGCTCCTGGCATCGAGGACAATAGCCTTCCTCTTCCTCCTCCTCCTCCTCTTCTGGCAGTGTAGATGAAGATGGGTGGCCATGGGATTCGGACGTTGCTGGGGAAGTCCAGCCACCTAATGTATGCACAGGAGAGGTTGACAGAGGATCCACATCGGCCAGGTGGCCATATTCACTGGCTGACGAGGGGTTTGGAGTCGGAAAGCTCCCCGAGAGCAGGTAATTTTGTAGAGAATCAGTGAAAACCCTCAAAAAGGCAGAAGTTTGTTGTTTCCTTTGCATGTATTGCATCTCTATGTCTACATTGTCTGAGGTCTGACTGTGGACCCCTTTCCCAATGTGACAGTGCTCCTGTCTTTCGTTGTAACTTGAGCCTTCCTGCTTTACGCAAGAAATCATGGACTGAGAATGGTTGGAGTCCAGGAGTTTTCCTCCACAATTTAAGAGGCTAAGAACTCGACTGCACTGTTGGGCAAAGGCATCCAAGATCATTCGACTCTCTGCAACAAATGAGAAGACACATCAGTGACCAACAGCCAACAGCAAAATATAAATAAAGTCCTCAATTTTGAGCTCAACATTCAAACATGTTAAAAATATGTATTTCTACTCTCTGTCATAAGCCAAGACGACACAGTAAATCCACTATGAATAGAATGCATAGCTTCCTGTTGTTCTGCGACTGCGGGATGCTAGATGAGTCACACCCAGTCTCTTGCTCTAGGAAACGGCTGGACTGTGACTTTGGGCACCATATAGAGATTTTCCTCTCTGTGGCATTAACTGGCTGCACAGGTCTGAACTCACACCTTTGGTTTCATTAATATCCTTACTCTAACGAATTGAGTCAGCCACTGCAGACTCAATTCCTCATTGATAGGAGGGCTTAAAGCAATCATTACTTCTATTTCTGGAGTGCCCTCATGCCCTTGCGATTAATCAGCTGATACAATCCCTGCCGAGAGTACATAGCTCCCAGATGCAAACTGGAAAAGAAAGATAAGTCTTTTTGAAGAGCTCACTAGAAATCTAAGGTAAAGCAAAGAGTGGGCCTATGGGCACAGGATGAACACAAAACTGTATGTGTCTTCTAACATCTGTGTTCACTATTCCTTCTTTTCACTTATTTGCTAACTTGGATTTCTCGTCAAGGCCAATGTTTAGGCTAACCTGATCATTTGAAAATCAGTAGTATCACTTCTTAGAACCTCTTCCGGTAGACTGCCAAATATTCTAAAATGGCACAAGGCACGGGTGCCTCTTAGCCCATGTACATGAATTCTAAAGCATATTGTCAACCATTGAAAGCAAAAAGCAAACAAAAGCAATCAACTCACTGCAAAAACAAAAGGGGAAAAAACCCAAATTGTGAAAATGTAATTTAATGATATCGAACGGTCTTGAAAATTTACCCTAAATATAAATGTCACGAGGTAGATTCACTTCTTTCCTGATTGCCATGTAGAATGGGCTACTATAAATACAGAGAGGGGCACTTTTCAGAGCTGACACAGAAGCATGAGGATGTCTCTTATTTCCTCTCCCCTTTCCCAGAATAATGGCAACAAACAAAATATTCGAGATTTTAGATGCCTATAACTATTGTTTAAGATAAAAATGCAACTAGCACTAGCTCTCCCTGAAAATGTTGACTAGCTGTATTTTTTTTGGAAGGAAAAAAAAACTTTCAGAATAAAAAATGGTGAGATGTTCAAGGGCTGCTATAGGAATAATGAGCTAGAACAGCTTCAATAAGAAATCCCCTAGAACACAACTAGGATGTAAGACCAAGGAAACCACACTTTAGGAGAACTCCATGCAGTGCTCAACATTCCACTGTGTTCTTTTTTCTTGCTATTCTTTCATGAAATAACTAAGCTAATCAGAGGAGAGGGGTCCAAGTGCTCTTTTCCAACTTTTTAATAAGAATATATACGTAAAGCAGCTGGGTATGGTGGCTCACACCTGTAATCTCAGCACTTTGGGAGGCCAACGTGGGCGGATCACGAGGTGGGAGATGAAGACCATCCTAGCCAACACGGTGAAACCCTGTCTCTACTAAAAATACAGAAATTAGCTGGGCATGGTGGCGCATGCCTGTAGTCCCAGCTACTCAGGAGGCTGAGGCAGGAGAATCACTTGAACCCAGGAGGCAGAGGTTGCAGTGAGCCGAGATGGTGCCACTGCACTCCAGCCTGGAGACAGAGTGAGACTCCATCTCAGAAAAAAAAAAAAAAAAAAAAAAGAATATATATGTAAAGCCCATATAGCACAGTGTTTGGCACATGGGAAGCATCCCTTACATCTCCCAAATTCTGAATCCCGCTGAAAAACTGCAAGTCAGAATAGAGGCCTGATCTCTTCTACTCAGTAGAGGATCAGAGGATCATAAACTGCACTGGAGTGTGAGAGGCCAGCACAACGCCTTGAGAAATAGTTACTGAACACATAGCAGGTACTCTTGCACATACATAGAGCATCTCAGTTTATAGCATTATCAGATTTACTTGACTGGGGCAGGGGTAGCAAGTCCACCCTAGGCTGGTTGAGAGTCCATAGGACTATTTTCTTCTTAAGATAGTACTTTCTTATTCTTAGGAATTCCCATTCTAGACCCTCAGACCTTGGCAGCAGAACCGCCACCTGACCCTCCTTCTCCAGCCAATCCTGTCCCCATGGCCAAGTACCCCAAGATCCAGGAATTCCCCACTCAAACTGCTTTAAGGATCTATGCTGCCATCTTCTCTTTAGCCATCAATCCAAAGACAGTGATCATGGTGTCAGACCCTGGAAGTGTGAACTGGGACCTCCATATATGTGTATATGAGGTCCCTCCTGGTGGAAGATAAAGCTGGGAGTAGGGAGAGAAAGACATGGGTTGGCTGTAAATTCCAAACCTGGTTACCATGAAGGTGTATTTGTCAAGGTAGGTGGACGGAACATATTTTGTTACACAATTTGTTAGCTTGATTTATACTTTGTAACTATCTGATACATGCTCTGTGACGCACCAGATGGTGCTCTTAATCTGGTGTCTCACAAAAATATTTGGGTGCCATTTATTTACAGTGGCCAAAACCAAATAATAAGAAAGCCAACAGTTGAACTAGACAAGTAAGAGGTTTAAGATGTTACACTCATTTTTTTTACTTCCTGGTTTCTGTTCTTTTATTAGTAAAATCAAAGGATGATATTGATTAGGAATTTTCAATTCCAGCACAACAGCAGTTTTCATTCATTTTAATCCTATAATCCCATTCTAGACCTGAAGTTGCATTTACTGTTTGCATTTTAATCAGCATGGTCCAACATAACCTTGATGAAAGGGACAAAATATGAAAGTCTAACACAGAATTGCCTGGTAAGAACTGCTTAAATGTATTTGTTCGGTGTCCTACAATACACTGAGTAGTTTTAATCATATTGATAAATCACATTAGAGCATAGATTTTAAGGGAAAAAAATCTGACTTAGGGACAAGCGTGATTTGTTTTCTTAATTGAAGGATAAACTTGTAACATGCTGAGAAAAAATCATTATGTGATATACTACATTATGAAGATAATCTATTAAAGTGCACTCAGAATATGAGAGAATAGCTACAATCATAAAGTAGTTCTTGCCTGCAGTTTTTTAAATGCTTCAATCTGAATTTGCTTTCAGAAATGATATGTACAAAAAGGGCTACTGTCACACTTAAAGTTGAATTTTTTCCCTTCTCAATACCTTGAATTATTTGAATATTATTTTAACATTGATACATGGAAGAGTGTGATGAAAAATACTACCATTACATTTGATGGAAAATAGCAAATCTTTCCACCTAATACACATTGCATGCAGCAATAGTTTAGCTTTCTAGACAGAATATAATTACAAATGCAAGTACTGTGTGATGCCCATTATCATTAAGAAATGGACAAAAGTTCTGTTTTCATACGAACACAATTGAATGGCTACTGATCTATGATTCTCAACTGAGCAAACTGTGAACATGTATCATGATTTTAACTTTTTTTTTTTTTTTAGTCATAGAATGCTCCACTCAAGTGATGGCAGGGAAAGAGAAAATCAACAGTTTACAGAAGGACTACTTTATCCCTAACTTCCCTAAAATTAAACGCCATAAAATGTTAACAAATCACAATCACAAAGCCCTCCAAAATGCCCACTTCTAATTTATTTTTCTTTATTGTGCAGCCTATTGGGAGATAATATCATGCTGCAAATTGTGCCTTGTCCGATTCCAAAATCTGAACCCATGATTATTTTTTTAATTAAAAAATTCATTTCGAGAAATTCGCCTGAATTTAAGTTGTTTAATCCATCCTAAATCTGATAAGTGAGTAAGAAGAGGGATGGGAAGTAGGCAATCAAATACAGTCTCCCTACTTTACCGCCCTTCTTTGTAAGTAAAGCCTTGAATGGAATTTGCCCATCACAGCAGATCCCCAAGAGAATTCTGTTTCTATGAAGGAGATCACAGTAGTCAAGATTAGTGGTAACCTTTTGATTTTAGCCCAGCGAAGGGTGAAATATATTAATATTAAAAATGCAGAAGCAGAAATTTTTTTTTAGTGACCTACTATCATGTATTCATATATCTACCCAAGGATTTCTCACTAGTTCAAAATAGATGATTTCCTTAAAACATTAATTTAACTTCTTTTTAAGAGACGACTTCATGGCATAGAAAATAGAACTTAGAAAATGAAAGCATCTTTGGAAGCACCACCCTTGTCTTAAATCAATGAACTATGTCTTTTTAAAAAAATGGCATCCAATTTTTTTTTCATAATGGCAAACATCAACACAGCAAAGTAGGATGCAATTTTTCTAAATAAATAAATCAATGATGTGTCAAAAATTAACAGATGAGTTAATATACTCGGTGCTATCAAAACCAGATGGTGCTTCCTAATATTCATCCTGCTCAGTCAATCCCTGAATATTTTCTGGACCATCGGTATATAAAATAGGATGCTGCTATTTGTGATGGCAAACAAAAGCAATCATGCCTGCCAAGCACATACTATAACAGGCAGCATTTCAGCTCTGCTAGACAGAAAGTAATTAGAATGCTTTTAATGTCCAAAAGAATGATGCTGATAGGCTGCCACAGATGTGTAGATTTATGAATATTTATATGGTGGTTTATAGCTGACACTTTTATCAGTTGAAGAAGATAAAATATCTGCCTGACTCAAAAGCTTGACAGTCAGGTTAATAAAATCTCATTAAAGAGAATGACCTATGCAATTATATAGGATTTATTGTAATTCATTTTTGATTGTACTCTGCTTAAAGATGCAATTTCCCATTTCCTGATGCCAAATTTAGGCTGCATATCAAGATCTACGTGGGTTTTAACTCTAAGCCTCCCACAGAGGAAAACTATGCTTTTAAAACCATGGTGTATTACCCCTTTTAAGGAAAATTATACTCTTCATGAGATTTTATAAGAACGTTGAAAAAAAATCTGTTTTTAATCACATATTTCTCTTCTCAGTTATGGCCCTTAATGGCAACTAAGATTCACTTCAACCCTTTCATCTTTTCACTGTATTTACTCAGGACACTCAGTTATGTCTCTTCTTCTGTCCTTGACTCATTTCATCACATGAATGTTTTGGCTATTTTCAGTTTACCAGGTAGCCTCAGACACTGCAATTACACTTTTGCAAAGGTGCAACAGGCAAAGCACCACACCCATCCCCCACCCCATCCTGTATGCTTAAATGGCCATGGGTCTGTGCACACAAGCTCATTGGTTCAAAGTGGAACGACTAATTTCTAAAAGAACCAATCAGCTCTTCAAGTGGTTGTGCCCCTGATGACCACTCACAACACTGTGCCTGTTAAGAGATGGCTTTGTCCATCAGTGATTAACATTATGACCACAATTCATGATGTCTAATTCTATGGCTTTTTTCCCCCCAGACTATTTTCCTCACTGCATGGAAGAAACCTACCATCCAATTCCCATCTTTCCAACAAGCACGAGGCATCCAGCCCTTGGTGCTATCAAGCTCACCCCTCTAGATGACCTCCCTTAAAAACAACAAAAGCAGCCGTGAGAATAAAAGGAAATACAGAGAAGTCTGAAAGGCATAAAAAAAACCCCTCTTCACTCCTTTAGATTTAGTGATGTTATAATTTCCATCTGGGAACAGAGACAAAATAAACTAAACAGGACATTAGAGGGAATACTGAAAGAGAACATTGAGAACAAGGTGAGAAAAGGGAGGAAAAAAAATAAAACACTCCACATGAATGAAGGACAGCAAGGAAACTGCCAGGGTAGAAGTGACCAAGGAAAGAACAGCAAGTGACTGGTGCAGAAAAAAAGCAGCAATACAGGAAATATATTGCCAGCTAAAACTATGGATGAAAATGGAAATGAGACGGGGGTAAATTTACAGTGTATAACAGGAAGTAAAATATGGAAAGAGTCAGCAAAGGCTGGAAAGAGAAAGCAAGAGGAGATGAAAGACTGACCTGGGCAGATAATGAGGGGAAAACCTCAATGAAAATGATGGAACTGAGGCTATGCAAAAGAGTAATAGCAAAACACAGAAAATGGGAAAAGGACTCAAATGGCTGGAAAACAACATAAAAATACAGGATGGTAAAGCTAAGTCTAGAAATAAACATACGCCTGAACAAGAAATAGTTTAGGAGAAAATAAGATCCCAAACCAGAAAGAAAACGAACCTCCTTAAGAAAGGGGGAAAAAAGAAGAAACGTAAGGAGGAAAATCAAGTAAGCCAACTGCCTAACGAAGAATATAAAAACACAATGGAATACTGGGGCAAGAGCAACTGAAAAAAATATACCCCACAAACAATAAGGAAGCCCACCTAAGAATCCCACTGAAAGCAATCAACCATCTTCATATCAGTAAGAGATGTGACAGATCAAGTCTTCACTATAACCTGTAATTAGGTTTTCTTTTTCAAAACCAATCCTTCATGTGTCAAAATATTGACAAACAACAGATTTATTAGTGGAGGCATCTATAACTCATTTAGACACAACACTCTATTTCCCACAGGGGAAAAAAAAAGAGTCTCATATTCACTGACATGCAGGATTTGGGGGGCTCCGAAGTGTCATAAAAGGCCTTGGCAGGAACTTTTAGTTCTAATGAGCGGATAAACGTGGCTGCACCCACTGGGAGCTGGTGGAGAGGTCCCTTGGGCTCAGGCCTCAGGCTGTGGCCTCGAAACCAGCCCATCTCGCTCTCTACAGGCAGGCAGTGGGCTGCTTTGCCCCGGCAGCGCCCGCGGACTCGGGATAAAGGAGAGGAGTCGCGGACCCCAGGGTGGGTGCTCCCCACGAGGCGTTTCTGTAGGGCTTGGGCGAGATGCTCCGGAGGGGCAGGGCCGCGCGGTGGGCAGGGACCAGGGGATGGCGGGGACGACAACGTGGGCGGTGGGAGCAGAGTGTCTGCGGCTCCCGGGCAGGGAGGAGGGACGGGATGGTTCCCCGCGCCTCGCGAAGTCCACGGCGTGGCAGACGCGGGGCCCCGAGTCTCACAACCAGAAGGTGGGAGGGGAAAGGGACAGAGCAAGACAGAGAGCACCCGAGAAACACAGGCGCACATAAAAAGACATAAGGAAAAACGCAGCTAAGAGCCAACCAGCGTGGACTGCGATAGTGTGAGAGTGCATCAAAGAGGTGGCGAAGAAAGCACCAGAAGGCAAAGGAGAAGTGGAGAAAAGAAAGAAATGGAGTAAGGAGGAGAAAGGGAAGAAGCGGACGGAAAAAGTGAAGCAGTACTAGAGCGTCCCAGCGAGGCGGCCCGAGAAGCTCTAGCTTTTCCCGTAGCGGCCGCCGCTATCCCCCTGGGGCGTCTGGCCCCACTCCGGCCCCACTCCGGCCCACGCCCAAGCGATCCCGGCCGCCGACCGCCACAGCCGTGCTTCCCGGTGCCGCATCCAAGCCGCGGAGCCACCTGTTAAGCGCGCGCCGTCGGAAGCCCAGCCGTGGCGGCGCTGGAGAATCTTCACGAAGTTTCCGGGCGCGCGGGGAGGCCTCAGGGTGCGCCCCGACGTCCCGACTCGGCCCAACACGGAAGAGTGTCGGCGGGTCCCCGCTTCTCCTTCCCGGGTCCCCTCCCGCTGCCCCCGGCCGTGGCGGGAAGGAAAGTTGTGCCGAGAGTTGGTACCTGCGCTGAGCTCCAGGCTGGCGCCGTCGCTACCCGTGCCGCCGGTGCCTGCGGCCGCCGCCGCGCCTGGGCCATACCTGACGACGGCGGCGAACGAGGACGACGACGAGGCGGCGGGGGACGCGGGCGGCGGCTGCGCCGGAGTCCTCAGGTGGCCCTGGGATGTGGCGGGCGTGCAGGACGGCGACGACGACGAAGCGGCGGCGGCGGCCCGGCCGGGCCCGGGGGGGTAGGAGCTCTGCGCCTGGAACTGCTGCGGCGGCGGCTCGCTGCTGCTGATGGAGACGGCGGCGTGCGGCGCGAAGGGCGGCGGGGGCGGCGGGGGCGCCCGCACGTGCGGCAGCTCCACCAGGGTGGGTCGCTCGTAGCGCTTGGCCAGCGCCGGTCTCTTGCTGGGGAACGTCTTGAGGACGCTGTAGGGGCTGCGCTGCTTGTAGATTTTGGGGACGCTGGGCCCCTCCTCTGCAGGCTGCATCTCCTCCTCCATCCGGCGCCTCGGGGCCGGTCCCCCGGAGCACGTCCCCTCCCCGCCGGGCGCCGGGCTCCGAGGGTGCCTCCGCCGCCTGCCCGCCGGCTCTGCCCTGGTGCGCGCGTGTGGGAGGGTGTATGTTTGTGCCGTGGCTGCCGCCGCCGCCGCCGCCTGTCGCTGAGGCTGGCATCGCCGAGCCCCCGCGCGGGGGGCTGCCGCCCGAGCTCCTGATTGACAGGCCGCCTCGCCAATGCCTGGAGGGAGAAAGGAGGTAAAGAGCAAGTGTTTAGGGTAATATCTGCTAATGATAATGGGGGCGGGGCGGGGCCTGGCGCCGCAGCCGCCCGCGGGGTCTGCCTGCCGGCTCCGCGCCTCCGACGGGGAGGGGGGGAAGGGGGAAAGCGAGGACCTGGAGGGCTCCCGGGAACTGCTGAAGAAGGTGGGGATCCTGGATCTGGCTACGGCGAGACTTTAGAGACCCAGATGTGGACTCGAGGCTTCTGCGGTTGCGGGCGGGGTCCGGCTTCCTAAATGAGCTCCTGGCGCCCCCTGCATGACCCCAAACTCTCGGGGTTGCACAGGGGAGGGGCTAGTCGTTGGGGCGGGGTCGTCAAGAGTACGCGTGTATTACCCAAGTTCTTCTACCAATCGGGAATTGCTCTCCGATCTTTCTGAAAAGAACCTCTTACAAGATCTTGCCCCAGGTGGTCGCGCGGTGTTTACAGGGCTCTGGGGTCCTGCTTTCCCCGAGCCTCGCGGCCTCTAAGCTCATGCGGAACATAAAAGCGCGCAGGGCGTAGAACTTTTTCACGTTTTCATTTGTTTCCCGTAGGGGCCCTGAGAATGTGCATGACACCATCATTCCCCCCACCCCCATTATAAAGATGAGAAAACCGAGGCGCAGAGAGGCCAAAGGGAATTGCCCAAAGTCAGATACTCGGGAGTGTGTGGCTGTGTTGCACTGATGCATCCGGGTTGTTTGAATTCAGCTCCTGACTTCTCATACCAAGTAGACTCTGTGCAATTGAGTGGGGAAATGACCTGACACCTCCCTTTGAGGTGATTACTTTCAACAGTGTCATTTTTAATATGTGTATATGTACTTGCAAGACCAAGGTAACTCGAGAACTCACTCCTTGCATTGTCTTATTCACCAACTGGCGTCATCCGGCGAGGGTCTGGAGGGTGGCTAATTTCAGTAGCCGTTTGAATGAGAGATCTCTGGTTTGGAGGAAGATCCTCCGTGGGGCGCAGATGTCCTGTCTCTCCCAGCCACTTTTTGGAGCAAAGGGTCCATTGCTCCCTATCTCAGATCACTCCTCCTCTAGGCCAACCAGCGTACCCTGCCGCAGGGTTGCTTTTCAGCCTTCCTTTTTCGTTCTCCAGGTCAGAGTTCTGGGTGCTCCTTGGTGTAGGACCCTCATCTCTGCGCTCTGGAGTTTGTTTCCTTTTCAGAGCCTTCCTTTTATTCTTTGGAAGGTGACCCATTTTCTTCTGGGGGTTCACATCTTTCGGCCTCTTCTTTCCCTGGTCTCCTTTCCTTTGGAAGCTTTTTCTCTCTCTCTTGCTGGTTCAGCTTCTGTATTATTCCCCCCTAGATTGTCTCCCTCTCTCCTGCAGCTTCCTCAGATGGTGCTGTGCTTCCACCCCCCCATCCATTTATTAGAGATGAAATAAATAATGCCATAAATAAAAGTATTTGGGAGTCCAGGAACTGTCAGGGCTGATTAGGGCATAGAGGACATTTTCTTTCTCATTATGCAAAAGCATTTCATGGGGAAATAAAAGAGGTTTCATTGTAACTCATGCATGTCATATTTCAAGGAATTCAACATATTAATCATATTTAACATTATTTGCAATGTTTCTCCCTGGCTTCTGAAAACTGCTAAATGAGGACACGTGGATCACTAGGAAAAGGAGACAAGCATGAGAGGGACAGTTAAGAAATAATGAAATGCTGGTGAAAGACAGAGAAAGAGAATGAGATGCCAGGGAGATGTTTCTTAGGCACGTAAGTGAGAAATGGGGGAGCTACTTCTGAGACGTGAGACAGCTGAAATTGAATGATATACTGGAGGAAATAAATGATAACAAACCTCCCCATACTTTCCTTTCTATAAAGCAGTTCTGAATTTTGCGTTGAAATGTTTTCCTCCCACTTTACTCCCAGATAATTTGCCAATAAGTCCTGGCTTTTGAAAAGAAATTGGGGTGGTGGCAGTGTGGGGCGTTTAGAGGGGAGAAATCTTTTAGTTCTTCTGAAGAAGTAATTTCCTGTACCTGGGGGCTTTCTCTTCTATGTAGTTTTAAATGTATATCCTCCTCACCACTTAAACACCTGAAGAGACTGGGAACAATACTTCTATTGTATATTTTCTATTGAAAAGGACCTGCTGTCCTTTACATCAAAAAGTGATCATTTCTATAAAACTGAAATAATCAAATTAGTCATTTAGCTTTTTAAAGGTTGGGGGAGGGGGAGGTTCCCAGAGGAAAAATATTTAAAAGTTTTAAATGATCAGCTTTCAGATTTTCATGTGGGCAGTCACCTATATCTGGGTCCTCGGTTCATAGAAAAATGAAGTACTTAAGAATCACTCTTTAAAAAACAAAGTGAGCGTTTATTCTAAGTGTGGAGTTGAAGGCAATTTTAAAATTATAACTGACCACTAATCCCTGCCTGAGACTGTATTTAACTGAGTATTGTACATCGATGTAATGTATTTAAGTGTTTATAAAATTACTGGTAGCACTCTGTGAGCATCTTGCTCTAAATTGTGGCCTAGATTATCAGATAGTGACTTTGCTGATGTCTTGGGGGTCTCATAGGAGCTGATAGAATAGTAATTACACCCATGCTTTAAATCTTTTTAGATATTTACTCTTATCTCAGAAAAAAAAAAAAGAGAGAGAGAGAACTTTTAAAAGCCAAGTGGCTATTTATGGACAGGGTAATTTTTTGATTGGCAGCATGTCAATTCCTTGAGCCATCCAGAATGTAGCTTTTAAATAATAACTCAGCCATGGGAAATGCTTTTTATTGCACCAATTTCAATGATATTTAATGAGCTTCTGATTGACTGTTTGATCTCCCAATGTTTTGTGCTACTTTTAATTCATTTTGTATAATAGGAAAAAAAAGTAATTGGAATAAAATTTTGTGACAAGATAATGACCTTCCACTTTGAAATTAAATGTCTGATTAGCTGCAACATTTTAATGCCAAGATGATATTGCAGCAGGAACAGGACTATGCATGCTATCATTTGGTACAAAATGACTTAGGAATACTCCTGTGCTTTTCCCATTGCATAGCAAAAAAGGTGTGGTGGCTATGTAATCGTAGGTACACAGGACTAGAAGGGACCTTTGCAGTCTTTTATTCTTGTGACTGAGCCTCTGCCCATAGTTTTCGATGGCCCTGGCAAGTGGTTGTGCAAACCATGTTTAAATGCCTCCACTGATGGGGATCTTGCTACCTTCAGGGACCTTATTTCCCCAGGTAGTTATTCCACAAATATTTACTGAGTGTCTACCATGTGCTAGGTACATTTCTAAGCACTGGAGGATATAATGCTAACCCAGATCACAAGGTCCTACTATTATGGATTTAGGTGGAACAGGTAAACAAACTAGTAATTAACTGAAAAATATTATTTCATATAGAAATAACTATGATTAGGGACAGGCGCAGTGATTCATGCTGGTAATCTCAGTACTTTGGGCGGCTGAGTAGGGAGGATCACTTGAGCCCAGGAGTTTGAGACCAGCCTGAACAACATAGTGAGATCCCGTCTCTACAAAAAAATAATAATTACTGGGCAAGGTGGTATGCATCTGTGGTTCTAGCTGCTTGGGAGGCTAAGGCAGGAGGATCACTTGAGCCCAGGAGTCCAAGGCTGTAGTGGACTATGATTGTGCCATTGTACTCCAGCCTGGAGGACAGAGCTACACCTGTCTCTAAACAAACTATGATGAAAAACCAGGATGGGAGACAGGGCTTGGTGGCTCATGCCTGTAATCCCAACACTTTGGAAGTCCAAGGTGGGAGAATCGCTTGTATCCAGGAGTTTGAGACCAGCCTGGGCAGCATAGTGACACCCTATCTCCACAGAAATAAAAAATTAGCCAGGTATGGTGGCTAATAGCACCTGTAGTCTCAGCTCCTCAGGAGGCTGAGGCCGGAAGATCATTTGAGCCTAGGAGGTTGAGGCTGCAGTGAGCCAAGATCGTGCCACTGCACTCAGCCTGGGCAACAAAGTGAGACCCTTTCTCAAAAAAAAAAAAAAAAGAAAAAAATAGGGCAAGGGTGTACTTTTGATAGAGTGTGACTGAGATGATCTCGCTGCAGTGGAACAATAGTTCACTCATGAGAAAAAGCCGCCCATGAGAAGAGCAGTCCAGGCTAAGGGACTATAGGTGCAAGAGCCATAAGAACCATAAGATGGGAACAAGCTTGATGTTCTAAGGGAGCTGAAAGAGGGCAAGCCATGGGAATTGCCATGGCAAGGGGCAGAGCAAGGAGGAGAGGAGAGAGGCGGGCTGGGCCCAGGCTGTGCAGGGCCTTGTACATCATGGGACACTTGGGGGATTTATTCTAAAGGCAATGGGAAGTCTTGGAGGTAGTTACACAGAGGTAATGACATGACCAGATTTATGTTCTTAAAAAATGATGTTTTCAGAAAAGTTAAAATCGTGACTCTCATACAGACATAAAAATGAACACGTGTTAAAGATTTTATTAAACATAATTATTCAGGGCCCTTATAGTGTTCAAAGGGAAGCACAGATTGGTGTGGAATAAAGGAATGTTGAACTGAATGTGTAAATGATTTTTCCATGGGGGTATGCAGGTGAGGAAAAGGGAATCTCTGCCAGATGGGACAGTTTGCATGTCTATCAGTTACCTAAACTTGCAGAGTTTAGAACTTGTAAAAATAATTCAAAGACAATGAAAGAGTAGAATCAGATAACTGAGAAAGGGTTGCATGTAGGCAGTGCATAGTTTTCCATTGAAACACAATTTATTTTCTGCAGTGCTTTCTTTAAAACAACTTTCTATTTTGAAGTAAGTACAGATTCACATGAAGTTGCAGAGAGGTCCAAGGTACCCTTCATCCGTATCCTCCGATGGGTACATCTTATGTCACTAGAGTTATGTGAATGGAATCGTGTAATATGTGATCCTTTGAAATTTTTCGTTTAATCGAATGCCCTTGAGATCCACCTGTGTTGTTGTGTGCAT